TTCATCGCGAGGTCAATACAAAACTGAAGCTTCTGAATGCTGATCATCGTAACTGGTCAACTGCCTGGCCAATAGTCAGATATTATATCAATAATCTACCAAAATCGACTTTAGATGGCAGAAGTGCAAATGAATGTTACTACGGACGAGAGTTTCATGTTCCTTTCCAAACGGATCGTGTTGACAGTGCAACAAAGGAAAAATGGTTTACTGGCTTAAACAAATATTTTGAGAAACTCCATCCATCAATTCTTGCTCACCAAGTTTCCCGATACCGAAAACTTGTCGCACGTGACAAGAATAATGCTCCTGTACTTGAGATAGGCTCCAAATGTCTCATATGGAAACCGGCTTTTAGAAAGCTTAATAGAGTCTGGTTCGGACCGTTCATTGTCAAGAAGCGAATCAGCAAGGACTCATACATTGTAAAAGATGTCGAAACTCGCAGGGAGTACCGCCGACATATCAACCTGATCCGTCCCCTGAACTTCAAAAATGGTTCCGATGAAGTTCCGAGTGAAATTGTTCCTTTGTCTCCTGATGATGATAAAATGAGCAAACCTGAACTCAAAGAAGATCACGATGTTAGTGAACTTAATGAAGTTTGCCCTGGAGAACCTGAGATTGATACTTGGGCAAAGAGATTGCGGCCAAAGAATCAATAAAAATGAAGGGGGAGGGAAGGCCCTCATGTGCCCCAAGGTGAAAATCCATATTGCCGAGAAATATGGCTGTAAACAAAGTCCACTTGGTATACCGACTCAAGAGCAGCCTGGCGACGCTCAATTGGAGAAGGGACCTCCTTACGAATCAAACCTCGCCTTGTAAATTGAAAGTAGCTTCCGTGTCCTGCTAATAGTTAGGTGGCCATATCCCTCACGCATTTTGTGATGACTGTGACGTTGATGTCTACTGCGCGTAACTTCAGACAGATGCCTCTCCAGAATTCATAGAATGTAGAAATATGAAAAACAACAAATGGCAACCGTTCTTGTTTACAGAACTTCGACGAGAGAAGAGTGATTGTTTACCAAGAGGTTCATGTGCAAAGATGAACGAAAATGTCATACCGAGATGACAAGTGATGATAGAGCTACGCAAAATGACGATAAGAAGTGCCCGTTTTATACCCGAGCGCACTTATATCCCTTGCCAATTCCAGAGTGTCTTGACGACAAAATGGCGGGAAAACCGATGATACAACTACTCCGAGATAATTGACAATAAAAGATGAATGTGAAATCAAAGTGCCCTAAATGGCAGATTTTGCAAAGGATTGACGAAACGTGCCGATCAACCATCAATCCAAATTTTAGAATGACCACCGGACTTCTCGTGCAAGATTTATTTTTCTTGCAGCCTAATTGCTCCAAGAGACGATTCCAGCAGTATGTGCTTACTTGGATGCTTGGAATCAAAATACCACTGGTGTTTCTTAGAGATCCGAAGACAGAAGCATTCATAAATTTCCTCGAATTTATTGAACAAGCAATCGAGAGATCAACTGAGGATTGGAGGATTGAACAGCGAACAATTATGAATTTCCCTGAATTCGCTAATGGCTTGCGAGGATTGATAAAGTTTTCTGCTTATGGTGTGATGATCCGTTTTCTTCATGGCCCTGAGAGAACGAAAGATCTACTGATAGATGAGTACTCAAAAGTGGCAATCAAGCGCCACTTATGGAAGAGACTTGGACAAATTAACATTTACGAACTTGATGAACTGTTTATCGACGTCAAAGCCGAAATAATCAAAGTTCTGCAACTAAAAGGATTAGACGTGCCGAGCGTTGACATTAGACGTGAACTTACGGAACAAGCAATGCAAATAGTGCCTTTTGATGGTTCAATCATGGTACCTTATCAAAATGAAACAGGAGGCAATTCGCTTGATTACGCTCAACATGCAACGCAAGTATAAAATACTGAAGTAACACCTATCGGCCCTCCGAATCGGAATGCAACGGAAAACAATCCGCGTGAACATGATCAATCAGCAGCACAAACACAACTAGCATACGGAACATCGGTCGAGCCGAGACATTCGAATGATGAAGGTCAAGAAAATATCGAAGGCCAACAAGCTGATCAGAATGAATCTGAGTATCAAATACTTGTTCCTATTGAGAATGAACCAACTTCTCTTAACAACTTCAACCCACAAGAGTCGCTGCTGAGACAATCCTGTTCAGTTGACGAAAATGCTCAGCTCCGCAACAGAAACGACTTCGATAAAATGTTAAATCCATCATGTAGAAAAGGATCTGTTACAGACAATGAAAATCATCACCAGACAACCGCGACGAAACGAACAAAATTCTCCTCACCAACGGACAAGTGTTGTCTAACCACGAGCCCAACAGATAATTTTGATGAATATCCTGGCTTATTCAATAATCTATCACAAAACTTCCCCGAAAAGAATGACGAACCTCAAAGCTCGCCTGAATCACCACCTGGATACTCATCTAGTTCCGACTCAGACTCAAATACTGATTTAAGTCTGAAAAAATAAAGAGGGAGGAATTTATAGTGTTTTACAAAAATGCTCGCTTTACGCGCCTGAGGCAATTTTACGTTCTGGCTCGATTTTCTGACGCCGCGTGCCCAATTTTACTTTTCCCGCGAAAAGCGCTACAGTTCCCTTGGAATTTCTCTTGAGTCCGGCGAGCTACGCTCCGTCACCCACCAACTACGCTCCGCCGCCGGCCGACTACTCTACTTTACCCGTCAACTAGAAGATTCCATGGGAAGCCTAAAAACTATATAAAGAGACACTGTTAACCCTTCCTCACCACTTTCACTTTACCCATTGTCGTCAATAAACCAGATACCAAACTAACTTTTTTTTTTGTGTCTTTCTTGCATTTGCATAAAGCACTACAGAGTCATAATTAATTGTCAGCTGCTATCATTGTTATTTTACGAGTTATGCTCTCGTAAAAAATTATCGAAAAAAATTTTTCGGCTCAGATTTTTTTCATCCGGGGCTTTTTAGAAAGCTTAGAGAATGAGGATCATCATGATATTCTCGGTTTTACGTGAATCTGTCTCAAAACATTTTTAGAGCCGAAAATGTGTCGCTCAGTTTCAAAAAATGCAAATTTTCGGTGTAATAACAAGGATAGTTTTTTTCAAAAAATTAAATTCCATACGAAATGTAATTCAATCTCAAAAATCTCTTGACAAAATTAAGATAAGAGTCTAAATTTTCATATAAAAATATAAAAAAGGTATGTTTACAGGCTCATTTCTTCGGAATTGAAGCCTCTTTTAGGCCTATTTTCACCATTTTAGGTCGAGATCTCGACTTCGGGCCAATTTTTAAAACAAAAAATGTTTATAAATCCAAATTTCCTCTTGACAAAATGTATAACAAGAATGGATCTTTGCACTGATGTAGGCGAATTTTATCCATCACTTCTATATCACGAGGAATTGAGCCCTAGTTAGAGCGTCGCCGACACCCGTACCCTTAAAAGCACAAGTAAATTATTATTCTTTATGGACCGACAAATACGGGATTGTTGCATCATCGCATTCTTCAAGAAGGGATATCATGTCCTTCAGATCATACAAATAGGAAACAGTATTGAGACAACTGACGTGAGAGGGATAAAATGGGCGATACTTCGGTTGAAGACCAACATCAAGTTCTTTGATAGACATTGTGAGAATCCAAGCATCTGTGTAATTATAAGATTATTAGAAGAGTCTAAGAAATTTGACTTATAAGGACATACCGATTAGAATTCTTATTGGTAAAACTAGTTTGCTGCAAATTTTTTCAACTGTGTCGAATAATTTTGTTGGGCTGTTATATGGAATCGTCAAGCCTACTTGCTCGATTTTCTGCTTTGGATTCCAGGACGTTCCGTATGGTGAAGGAGGAAGGTATCTGAACCCTCTTTTGAGAGCAGAGTCCAGATCAGACGTTGCGACGGAGAGACCTTTATCTCTAAGTGAGTCGTGATTGTAGAATTTCTTCTCTTCATCTGTAAAAAGATTGTTTATGGTCCATAATATTATCAGTAATTTTGATTACTATTCGTGAAGGGGGTCAATCAAACTATTTATCAAAATAAACATTAAGAAATACCCTCATAAAGACTGCCTATCAGAAATCATCAGGGAAAGCCACAAATGAAGAAATCGATCTTGGTAAACGAATATGATAAGCAGCCATAAATCTCAAATAATTTTAGGATTGAATGATCTTATTCTGCCCGCGGATCTTCCAGACTCGCATAATTTTGCAGGCGCTGCAAAACTTGGAGAGAAAAGAACAGCTTCAACAGGGCAGTGTTTTTATTAAGGTTAAAATGCTCCTTTAGCCTGTAGAGCTTTATTTCGGCGACGAAAGCGCTATCATTTTTCAGAGAGGAGGGGTAGGTTAAAGCTCATAAAAAAAAACAAAATGGAGGTTTTAAAGCACACACCGCTTTGAAAAAGGTTCAAAATCGATAAAAATTTTCATGTGATAATAATCAAATTTTTAAATATAACCTTTGAAAAGATGATTCTGTTCGGTGGCTTATGGGATAGAAAAAAGCATATAATCAATAATTTATTTCTTTCGCATAAATAATCGGCTAAAACGACTCAAAATCTTCATTCTTATAAAGACGAGTTATTCAACGTCAGTCAAAAAACGACATCCGGAAAGTCATGGACTCCATATTCCTCCGTGACTATGGATTTATCAAAAAAGCATTTGGTAAGCAGAAATTTTTACAAAATCAGCCATTAACATATTTTACAACGAATTTCTTTATCATTTTTAAGGGACCAATATTGGATCGAGATTTGCGATACGGGGAAAAAACTTTCAATCTCTGATGATTTATTCATATATAGGTAGATTGATTCTTGCTATTTTTTTCGTAAAATTTGAAAGTGGAAGAGGGCTGCCGAGCATATTCCGAAAAGAATAAATATGCAAAGTATATTATTTCGCACATATACGACAGTAAAGAGCGCAATATCAATCTCATTGAAATGTCGATAAGGTAAGCTTCAAAAATTTTCGTTATCATGTTACAATTTTAGCAATCTCTTCTGGTTTGGACTGACTTCTGAATTTTATATGAAAATAAGAGTGACATCACTCGAGTATGAAAAAGAAAACGGTTACGTCGACATTTTTTAATTGGATTTAAGTTTATATTCAAATTTAAGATATTCGATTAACCGTTATTAGTGATGGAAGCGTTTAAAGGCTTTGGAAACAAACTCGACAAATTAAGTAAATGCAAAAATGCATTTAAATGGTTCGATAAATAGAATGCTCTTTATTAATTTTGTTTAGTTTAGTCAAAATGGCGAAGGAATATCAGGGTGATGATAAAGAAGACCAATTGTTGGTTATGAATAATTTTGACGGCTACATCCGAACATTTTCTGAAAAGGATTTGAAATACGGCCATGACGAGGTTATGAGTAAGTTCGATAAGTTTAGCATAATATGATGATAATTTTAGAGGCGCATTCACCGATAAGCGAGAAATACAAACGAGATTACGCCGAATGGGAAAAATTAAAGCTTTCAAAGTCAACACAAGTTGTTCCAAATAATATCAAACTTGAAAGTGCGTTCGCACTTTTAAAACACATTCAGGTTTAGTTAAGAAAAAAACATAAATTTCATTAAGTATCAAAGGGAACTGACGCCACATCTCTACCAAGGAGAATTTATAGAAGAGCCGCAGCAGCACAAAGTGGCACTGCCAAATGGTTCATTAAAGAACTCGATGATGAAGAACAAAAAGATCTCATTCAGCGAGCAATGAGAGAAAAAGAAGAAGTTAACAAGGAAGACAGTCGTCTCAACAAAGAAGAAAAAATGACATATTTGCCGGTTGAAGAATAATTATATAAATAAAATTGACTATGAGCAAAAAGCTTGACAATAATTGACTAGTTAGAAGAAAGCATCGTCAGGCTGGACTTGGCTTCGATAGGCTAGAACAGGCAAGGCAGTTAGGGTTGTAAAGAAAAAATAAACTCAGATTCGATTCTATGAGTTTTCCAGCAGGAACGTTCTCCGGGGGGTTCTCCAGCAAAAAGGGGCCAAACGTAGAAAATGGCAATTACGGGCCCTTCAAAGGTTTTTCAGTTCTTTTTTTAATAATGGCCCGAAAAGGCCGAAAAAGGCAATTATTGGCCCTTCAAGGGTATTTCCTTTTTAAACATTTGTCTTCAAGCAAGTCTTCCACCAGGATGGTTCTCCATGAGGTCCTCCGGGAGGTCCTCCGGCAGAAAATAGCCGAAATTTGCCGAAAATGGCAATTACTGGCCCTTCAAGGGTATTTCCCTTTTTTTGAAAACAGTTCTCTTCCAGCAATGAGACTTCCACCAGGATGGTCCTCCGGTCGGTCCTCCGGGTATTTCCAGTTTTTTAAAATATTGGTCTTCCAGCAGTAAGTCTTCCACCGGGTAGGTCCTCCGGGAGGTCCTCCGGCAGTTAGTGGCCAAAATTGGCCGAAAATGGCAATTTCTGGCCTTTCAAATTATTTCCCTTTTTTAAATACTGGTCTTCCAGCTGTAAGTCTTCCACCAGGTAGGTCCTCCTGGAGGTCCTCCGGCCAAACACGACCAAAAGCGACCTGAAGTGGCCATATACTGGCCGAGCACCGCATATATAAGCTCATTACTGTTAAATAAAGTGATTTGCCTGATTTTCATCAAAATTCGACCATAACCTCCATTTGTCACGCCTGTAGCCCATTCTAGAGGACCAGGGCCCAATTCAGTTTTTGATCAGGATGATAGCAAATTTCATAATCTTTCTAAATATACAATTTTTATGACCTATAACTGGCCGGATCAGGGTCAAATAAGCGTTTTTCTAGAGCTAACCCGAAAAATCTCCCAACTTTTTGAAAATTTCTCGAAAAATCGAAGTTTTTTTTTTGATTTTTTTGGGTTTCTAGGGTTACCCTGACCTGATCTACACCCTCGATAAAGAATTTCCGAGGTACCTAAGCGATTTGAGGGGGTCGATTTTTTACGTCCGAGGCCTATTTATGGATGGAAGCTCACCATCAACTGTAAAGTCAAGCTCATCTCGTAAAAATTTAATCTCAAAGTTATTAAATTTTCTTTCACGCATGTTGAGAAGTTTGCCAATGCTTTGACCCAAAAATTTTCAGGAAAAAAGATTTTCGTTAATAATTATCAAAAAACCAATATGCTTTGTTTGTTTGAATCTTCTTAGCAAAAGAAAACAAGGCTTTATATATTACTAGAGTTACTTTTTATTCGTTGATGATAGATCACATATAATGAAAGCAGATTTTGAGAAAAACTTTGTACGTTTCGAGGAGGGTTCATCAGATTCGTCATCTGTGGAGACAAGACCGCGTTTTCGGGATCTTTAATGGAGCATTTTAAATGTTCATATAAACTCTAATTTTAACCTTTTATTTACAGAAATTATTTCATCGGAAGAAGAGTCGCTATTGAATCGTAATTGACGCCTTGCTCGAGGTTTTCTTCAAATGTTATTATAAATTAATTTTGAATTTTAAATCAATGAATATTCGTTATTTGAACTGACCCTGTTTGAGTTGCTGAAGTAAGCATTTTAATTCGGCGACTTGGTTTTCCACAAGTTGGACAGAATGTCGGTGTAAGCGTAAGTTTTCTTAGAATCGAGTAATCCGACATTGGAATGTCGATTATGCTAAAAATAGTCGTAAATAAGGAAACGATTTAACACCTTACTCTGTTTGTTCACATTGATCCATGACTGTCTCAGGAATTTTCTTTGTCATTTTTCTTCTGTTTTCGTGAGTTAAATGACTTGTTTTAAGGGCTCCGTCATTATAGGATACAACAAAGCCCTGATTTCGAACTTTAATTATTATTTCTTCTTCTAAAGAAGATAGTGACGAATTGTCATCGATAAATTCATCCAGCGATCCGGCGTCGGACGAATCTGAAGAAACAGGCTCGCTTATTAAAGAGTGCTGTTCCCGGTTGTCCGCAGACTTTCTTCTTCACTATCCATTTCCTCAATCTCGGTCGTTTCATTTTTCAATTGATTTTTTTTTCTGAGCTGCTCGACCGAATAAGTCATTTTCGTCAAACATCTTATTATAGCAAAATATAAATAAATATATAAAACTTATAATCTGATAACAACAAATCAAAGTTTCAATTTCAAATATACAGATTTATGTTAAATCGGTTCTTCATTACTCCTATAAATGGTTTAATTTCTTTTTCATCAAAATTTAATACTTTGTTTTCGGGGAATTATTCTGCTTTGGCAATTACACCAATTGACTCATGCTTGATGATTGACGCTAAATAAGGATTAGTTTATAGATTAATAAAATAGATTTTTACCTGTCACATCTTTATCGTAATCCATCGTCATGTTTATATCATAGTCTATCTGATCGTCTTCGCTGATTTTCTTTTCATTCAGCTTAACATGAGCACTTTTACCCAACCACGACAATCCCGGATGAAGAGTTCGCTCGATTGCCCCCTGAAGACCAAATCGTGAAGTTGGTTCGTGGCCGTAAAGCTTGGTAGAACATCTGAGCATATCACTATGATAACTCTTATATTCATTTCAAAAGATTGTCAACTTACAGATGCGTATTCATTTCTTGAATTAGGTTCTGATATCTTGTAAGAGGTCGATTCATTACACATTCAGTAAACCAAACTTGATTCGAAGGGCGAAAAACCCAAAGAAACTCATCGAAAATACTAGAAATATTTTTGACTCTATTAAACCAAAAAAAATACCAGTTCCGTTTTTTTATAATCGGCACTCCTTGCTTGTAAAATCGGAGAATCGGATTGTAATCCCCTGACGATTTGAGCTCGGGGCCTCCCTGATAACCTTTTTTTACAAATATGACATTGGAGTTCTTCACAACATCGAAATGTATAATTGGGAATCTTCCGAGCGTCATTTCACTTGAATGTACAACTCGTTCCAGAATGACAGTTCCCACATTAGCAGAAGAAACATCATAAGCGATCCTGGTTCGAACTGCAATGATAGTTCCATCTTCTAAGCCCACAAAAAGAACAAAAATATTCGGACTAGAAAGATATGAAATGATGTAAACTTGAATGAAACAAACGGTTTCTGAGACGGGTAACCATCAGCTTAGTTCAGAGGACAAGTGAAGGCTTCGAAGCGGATGAATTTTCCAATGATTGTTACGTTTTTGAGAATCCTTTTTCCTTGAGAAAACCTTGTTAAAGATCTCGTTGTCAAAACTGATTACCTGGTAAACTATAATGAAAATCATCTGTGGTTAAGATGACATGAAGAGACTTATCTCTTTTACGCAATTGATCTCTCGATCTTCTTTGACGTGCCGCAAGCTCGAGAATTCGCTGAGCTATATTTCTTTGCTGATAATTCATCGCTTAATTTCTTTGCGGGTAATTCATCGTGGGAAGACTGAATTTTGTAAGTGCTAATCCCCTTAAGCGAGTTCTTGGAAAATGAGGCGCCCTCTGTTTGCGGCGCCACCAGCGCTTTAGCTCTTGAGGCGCTATTTTGCATTATATATAATTGTTTGTTTTTCATAAATACTATCGTTGAGACAGTAACGCCAGTTCAATGAACTGGTTTCCATCCAAGGCTCAGGGCGCAAGCCCTGAAGGCGCTTCCTCGACCCCGTCAGAGATCAAGACAGAGAGCTAAACTATTTCGCCGCCGGAAATCGCGACAGAGAGCTCCACTACATCGCCGCTGGAAATCGACAACGATCTCTTGAAGGTCATCGTGAACATGATCGAAGAGTCGTCAGATGGTGAAGTCTTGGTGATCATCACTCTTTCGCTGCTGGCTCTCATATTGACAGGAATCGCTGCATTCTTTCTGCAGAAGAAGTTCAAGTTCCTCCGATTTTTCGCTCGCACCGCATCTGCCAACGAAGGCTCCAATGTTGAGCTCGACGACATCAACAACAGCGCCGGGGCAAGTGACCATCACGAGTCTGGAGAGAACATCTCGTCCACGAATGCGACTTACGGAAGCTCAACTACCAATGGATCCGAAGCATCCCGTCGATCACATCTACGCACGCCATCAATCTCCTCGTCACGATCACTTCCTTCTCTGAACTCGCAAACTTCGACAAACCTTGTTGAAGAAACGGTCAACATTGAGAGATCAGCTGGCGAATCAAGGCCACCAAGAAGAAGCTCAACTCCATTTTCTTTGAGCAACTACCGACGCCTGTCTCCTTGTAAGTTTTTATTTTACTATTCTTATTATTATCTTAACCTCTACTTTGAATAACTATTAATTTATCTTTGTAGCGCTGAGTCTTCCAGCTCTGGCAGTGACCAAAGAAGAAGAAGAAGATACCCCAGCGGACAACACTGCGGTTGCTCAAGAACAAGAACACCAGTTTGCTGACCTCGGATCTCCAGAACGAAGAGCCATACAAACACCCCGAGTAAGTTTTTACTTTTTTTATACAGAGCTTTCGCTTTAAACCCTCTTCTGAAAACTCATTTTTACTTATAGCAGCAGCAAATGACCGTCAGACGATCCAACCGACAGAGAAAGCGACCAAGCTTCTACTAACGCATGGGTTCTGCATCATCCTCCTTTCTTCTCTCCGTTCATCACTTCAACAACGACGTGCCCCACGCGCACTCGCTCCAATCAAGAATCCTTCTCTTTCTCTTCGTTTACCTTCAAACGCTCCAAACACGAGGTCATCACAAGATCCCTCATCATCATCATCCAGTATTCATCCCGCCTCATCGAATCAAGCTATCCAGTGCCATTTTCCTGACCCCAAATGGTCATTTCTTCCAGTTTCAACAATGCAGCCCCCTTGGGCTTCTCATCTTCAGCAAGCCAACCTTCAAATCAAGTGCCATCATCCTGACCCAAATGGTCCTCTTACTCAAGTCTCATCAAGCAGCCTTCTCGTTTGCTGTTTCTCATCTTCAGAAAGCCAACCTTCAAATCAAGTGACATCATCCTGACCGAAATGATCCTCTTCCTCAATTCTCAACAACCAGCCTTCTCGTTCGCTGTTTTTTGTCAGCAATCACATCTTCATACCAATTGTTGGCCATTTATCAAAAACGAACACGTCAACCACCTATGAAAAAAAAAATTCTGTTCTGAACTGTTTTCAAACTGTCTTTTGTAAACTGTTTAATAGACGGATCAAAAACTCAACTTATCCTTTAGTTATTTTTTTGCAAATTGAAGCAGGTTAGCAAATAAAGCTTGTGTGATTTGTAACTATCAAGCAAGACTTATAATCGACCAAACTGTTTAAATACATCTTTATAAGCAGAAAATAACCGAGGGAATTCAAAGGTTTGACCAAGTGTACCAATATGAAATTTCAAGTTATCATAACGAAGGTTGTGTCGTTGTTTAAACTTGTCAAGTCTTGTCATAAACACCTTGTGAGAGCCACAAACAAACTTCAAAAAAACTTTGATCAAAATCATCTCTTCCTTCTTTCTTCCGGTTTGTCCAGACATGGCTTGTCTTCTTCGTTTCCTGTAAGATTTTGTGAGAATTTTTTTCTCAAGTTTATAAAGGAAATGTTCCAAATTTTTGTTTATTTAGTTGACACTTGCAAATAATCTACGAAAAAAACATATTTGCTCTTGACCTTGCACTCGATTCCCGGAAATATTTTTCCGGTTTCAAAGAGACAATGAGTAAAAAAAAGAAACGAGAGAATTTATTCCGTTATGACATTGCACCAGGATTTAAAACAAACATGTTCCATGTTATTATGCTTGGAAAATCTTTGAATAATCAGAATCTACCAGGGCGTAGAAAATTGAATCAAATAAAGGTTTGAATCTAGAAATATAAAGTGACTTACTTTAACTAGGAAGATATTCTATCCACTATTCGATTCCCTGACTTGTCTACTTTTGGTGTTGATGATGCTCGAGACTTTGAAAATTTATCATTGTCAATATTGGAAATAATTGAGAATTTTTACGAGGTTAATATTGGAATTGTCTGCTTGACTGATGAATGTCTAAAACGACCTGAAAGTAATCCAGGAAGGTGTCGTGTGTTACAAACTTAACTATAATGATTGTTGGCGACATTTAAACAGTTATAAAATCGAGCGCACAGAATAAAAATTACAGTTAACTCGCACAATTTGGCCCCGCACAATTCGGCCCTTTTTTCAAATTCCGCTAAAACGTTAGAAACTCGTACAATTTGGCCCCGCTGCCCTCTTCATCAAACTAAAAATAGGACAAAAGTTTTATTTCATAGATATTTATTGGTTCAAAAAAGACAGAATTGAAGACTGCTTTGTTCTCTCCTGGGTTTTGATTAACTGACAGTTAATCAACCGGGGCTTAAGGGATCCCCCCTGATTTGGCCAACTTTGAGGTCGAACTACTTTTTTTGGGCTTAGCTATCTTAGAAGTGAGGGGATTTTTTTAAAGCATATTTCTTCATGAGCAATCACTTGTATGGAAATCTAATTTGAAAAGGCGAATCACCTCTAAAAATAGCCGTTAAGACATTGATAGTCGCGAAAACCCTAGATTTTGGCCATTTTCAAAATCTTTTCGTTTATTTGTTTGAGCTTTCGGAATTAAATTCCATCTTCAGAAACTAAGTACAGTTAACATAAAATACTCAGAAAAGTAAGCTTACCATGTGAGTGGCAAGAGAGAAATTTAGCGCACTAAAGTTTTGACAAGAAAATTAGAAGGAGAAGAGTGATATCTAGAGAATTTCACAACAATAAAAATTGATTTGATGGGCGTTATTGTTGTGAAATACATGCCCATCAAATGAATTTTATTTTTCGGTGGTTGTTTTGTTTGTTAAGATTAGGAAGTAAAATGTTGATGAAAAAAGCTTCAGTATACTTTCGTTTGTGACAGTCGAAAAGATTTGATTTAAGAATGGAAGTATGAGAAAGAAGAAAATCAAGTTTCTTCTTTGGCGTGAGATTGTATTTGTTTTCAGTTTTCAATTTCGATTGATAAATTTCACAGCTGTAGATGTGAGTAGAAATTTCAGAGTTACTTGATCGAAAATTGTGCTCTCTCAGACGGTTAACAACAGGTCGAAGTGTTTCACCAATATATATTCCATTATTACAAGGACAAGTAAATTTATAAATGCAGGCGGTTGGATTATCGCGATTTTGAGAAGGTTTGAGGCGAGGATTTATTAAATTAGAGATTCGAATTGATTTTCAGGATATTTTAAGCCGGAATTTTGGCAAAAATTTTCTGATTGATTCTAGTAATTGTTTTTGGATGAGATTGCACTGATGCGATGTATAATCCAAAGACAGATAAATTTCCTCGTCATATTCTTGTTCTTTTCTTTTCTCATTTTTTAAAGCTAAATCTATTTTCGAATTAATTAATTTTGACGGGTATGAATTTCCTTTAAGCTTCTTTTAAAGCTTTTCAATCGCAGGTTCTTGAAAAATTTTATCTGAAGATGCATGCATGATTCTATTTACGGATCCAATTATGCAATTATTTTTATGGGATTTTGGGCAAATTGACTTAGAGAAATTTGTTAAAACATTACTTTTTGTTGGTTTTTTGTTATGTTTCATTGAAATAAGCGAGTTGTCTTTATTAATGAAAATTGTCGAGTCAAGAAAATTGATCGAGTTGTTTGTCATATTTTCAATTTTGAACTGGAAATTTTTATTGACTGAGTTCAACTTACTGAAAATTTTTAGTTTTGATTTTTTCTCACAAACGATTATGCAGTCGTCAACGAATCTCGCAAAAAGTAAACACTCGCCTGATTTTGTCAGTGAGCTAACAATATTATTCTCAATAAGACTGCAAAAAATATTAGCAACAATTGGGGAAATCCTACCTCCCATATTGACACCCTTATTTTGTTTAAAATTGCCGACACGGCTAGAAAAACCAGTAAAATCACGAAGACAACCTCTAAGAAGTGCGAAAATTGTGCTTTTTGATGGAAAGTGCTCTGGTTTTTCAATAAAACCTTCAAAATAAAATTTTGGATCTTGGTAAATTTTATTGACAATAAATTCAATCGCTTGATTGATATCGACGTTATCATACATTGACACAACGTCAAGCGAAAAAACTGCATGTTTATTTTTATCAAAAAAAGGTCGAATTTTTAAGATTTTGTTTTTTATTTCTTCGGTACTTTTTATGCTGAATTTACAAAATCCAAGCATTTTAGAAAGAATCGGTTTTAGAAAAAATTTTTCTGTATTGCTTGTAAGGCTGTTCGTGCCAGAAATGATAAGTCTTAAAGGTTTTTTTGTTTTGTGTTCCTTGGAAAGACCAAAACATGTGCGACTGTTATAATTAGGCTTGATCTTGTTGAAACAGGTCGATGTAACAAAAGGTTTCAAATCTTCAAGAATGCAATTTAGACGTTTATAATCTCGTTCTAAAAAATCATCCGAGATTTTTATAAATTTATCGGATAAAAGTTGTTCTGAAAGTTTTTGTTCATATTGTTCACATGTGACAATTTTAAGATTGTCAGACTTATCGATCGGAAGGATGAGAATGCTTGGATTCTCTTTCAAAAATTTTTTGAGAGTTTGAGCGTCATTGTTATTTGGGAACGCTTTCCGAAGAGAATGAAAAGAGACTTTAATATTAGTCAAAATTTCATCTGTTAAGAGTGGATCGAACTTCTTATCATTGCAATATTTTAAAAATTTTAGTAGCTAAATAATCATACTTTTCGCCAATTTACTCAGCATGGGGAGTTCCCCCGATACTACGTGAGCCTCCGAATTTCAAAATATCGATAATTTCAGGTGGTAAAGTAACAGATGTATCATTGATAATTTTGATTTCGAAAGGTGGTGGGGATTTTTGTGCGATCAGAGATTTAATTTTTTTATCTAGTTGAGCTCGATGAAATTTCAGAGAATGAAAGGCTACATTTCGTAAATGCGATAGGTGACGATGAAGGTTAAGCGGTGATAAATTTGAAAGTTTAGTTTTAGAAAATAATTCTAGTTCAGAATTAAGTTGGTCAATAATTACGTTGTTTTTTTTGAATTGTTTCTCGTGTTATTTGTGATCTTCTTTTCGATACCTCAGCTTTACTCCATTTTACTTGCTTCAAAACTTGCGGCTTGAAAAAAGTGAATCGGGGGTGGACTTGATGATCCAAGCAATTTTGTAGAAAATTGATGTGTTCTCTATATCGCTGGACTTTTCTGATTATTTTATATTCTTGGCGATGTCGTGGTTCCATATTTATATCTCTTGGTGTTGACATCTTGTTTTATAATTCTTTTCGTTTATTTGTTTGAGCTTTCGGAATAAAATTCCATCTTCAGAAACTAAGTACAGTTAACATAAAATACTCAGAAAAGTAAGCTTACCATGTGAGTGGCAAGAGAGAATTTAGCGCACTGAAGTTTTGACAAGAAAATAAGAAGGAGAAGAGTGATATCTAGAGAATTTCACAACAATAACGCCCATCAAATCAATTTTTATTGTTGTGAAATTCTCTAGATATCACTCTTCTCCTTCTAATTTTCTTGTCAAAACTTCAGTGCGCTAAATTTCTCTCTTGCCACTCACATGGTAAGCTTACTTTTCTGAGTATTTTATGTTAACTGTACTTAGTTTCTGAAGATGGAATTTAATTCCGAAAGCTCAAACAAATAAACGTAAAGAATTATAAAACAAGATGTCAACACCAAGAGATTTTTAAAATCGATACTTTTTTCCCTCTGATATATTTCCCCGATTTTGTTCTTAAAACCTTCCCTGTGCCCGAAACTACAATTTCTCGTACAGGCATCTGATTATGTGAAGGATTGAAGATTTTTTCTTTACGAAAACTTTATCGACTTATTTTGGCGATTTTCTATGCTCTGTAGCGCCTCTTAGTGGCTAAATATTGCATCGAAACTATTTTTTCCTGATTCAACTTTGTCTAAGCTATCTATAGAGCCCTCATTCATATGAATCTGTCGACTTTGAAAAGTCAAAAATTTCGCGAATTTTTTCTAAGAAAATTTTTTGGCCAAAATAAGCCATTTTCAAAGCTCTGTCACGGCTCTTCACGTGGCGTAATCCCCTTGACATAATATATTAAAATTATCCTCAGACAATGGAGATTTTAATAGGTTAATAGATTAAAGAGTTTTCTCAGAAGTCGCACAATTCGGACCCGCACAATTCGGCCCTTTTTCGACATATAGCAGAAATAAAGAGGCCAAATTGTGCGAGTTAACTGTATAAGAATATTATTCTTGCTGTCAAACAGAAAACAGATTTTTCGAGAGTCAAGGAGTTCTTCTTTGCTGCGTCGATTGAAGATCTTCATAGATTTAGAATAAGCAAGAATATTCTTACGTCTTTCGAAGCTATTGTTCTGTGTAAGAGCGAATCATCTTTAAATTTATCTTAAACTTATCTAGCGGAATTCTCAGATCTACCAATTGAAGAACTTGAAACTAAAGTGGATGAAATGAAACAAGTCTATGGATCAATTTTGAATGCTCAGAAATTAAAGAAAATTGCTGTTAAAAAGAGTGTTGCAATTGAAATTTGGGTGCGAGAAGAAAGTCCGAATGAAAAAGATCCATCTCGCCGCAAACGTTATTTGTTTCCTCCCAATCTTCGAGAAGAACCAAAACTGTTTTTCAAAATTATTGAATTTGGGCCGACTCGATGTCCTGTAAAGAATTGTTATTTTTTTTTCAACAAATAAGAAGAAACTAGAACGTCATATAAATTGTTGCACAAAAACAAATGGTAAAACCACTGTCAGATGCCGCCAGCGGCGATACGGAAGGATATCTGAAGCTATGATTATTGACGAGCTTGTTGAAGAAGAAATATTTGAAAAAGATAATGTAGATAATAATAATATCAAAGGTAATTGTTAATTACCCCCCTGGTTAAATAAAAAGATTCATTTAGCACCCTCTTCGACAGAATCAATTTCATCCGAAAACAAAACCAAAATTATTTCAACTCATAAGCTGATGACGATTTGCTGTAAATTGGTAATTAAAAGCAGAAATAAGGAAGTGATAGAAGTTTTTGATCGCAAGAATGGTTCGCCAGATGGATTGAAAATGCTTATAGAAGAGTTTGGTGAATGGTTAAGAGAATGCGCGACGGATAATTATGATGTAATGCCATTAAATCTCAAAATGGGTCTACTTAAATATAAAAAACTTGTTCAAAATCATGGAGAAATGAGAAGAATGTCCGCGGAAAATCAGTTTAAAACAAGACAGAAATTCAAAATTCTCAACTCAATGTCACAGTTGCACGTTATTTCCTTCAATGGAGAGCGATATGATCACCGACTGATTGTTCAAGAGCTTCGAGACTACTATTATGATATTGATGGAGGAGGAGAGCTTTGGAATTCTCGACATGTAATTAAAAGAGGCGCAGGATATATGTATATGGCATTTCGAAATATTGTTTTCAAAGACATTCTTAATTATACGATTCCTTGCAGCCTGGAGAAATTTGCCCTCAGCGTTGGTGAAAAAACATTTTCGAAGGCAACCTTTCCGTATGAAAAATATGAGTCAAGAGAAGAAGCTGAAAATGATCGTGAATTTCCCTCATACAGGGTTTTTAAAAGTCATATGTACGTACCAAGAGAAGAATTTGTCAAGGAAATGAACAATGAGATCAACAAGAAAAAATGGACCAATTTCCACGAGTTTTGTCAAGACTTTCGGCTGAATATTCGAGACATTAAGCAGTTAATTCCGAATAAAGAGTTCGAATTCTACTTCACGTCGATATGCACTTTTCCAATCAATGATGAAACAAAAAAATTTTTTCATATCTCTCCTTATAAATACTTGGAATCGAGGAAGCATTTCGAAGAAAATGACGAAATTCAAAACATGTGGGATTATTTTGAAGTCTACAATACCTTTGACGTTGTTCTCCTTGAAAAAGCGTACTTCAGATACTCGGAACTCTTGAGAAAACAATGCAATCTTGACATCACAAATTTTATCAGTTTGTCGGCAATTGCTCAACATGTCGCCTATGAAAATTATGATGAAAAGTCACCGCCTTTTTATTCTGTCAAATGTTTGGAGCTATCAAACCTTTTCCGAAGTAACATGCGAGGCGGGATTTGCATGGTGTTCCATCGAATGGTTGCCTTGAACTCAACGGACGAGACTCTACCGATCGCTGCAAGGCAATCAGAGAAAGGATTGCTCTACAAACGTCTGATACAGCGGGACTGTAATTCCTTATGTAAGTTTTTTTATTGTTGTTGGGTCAATAAATATATTTCTTAGATCCCGCAATCTATTCAAATAATTTACCAACAGGACGTGGTGTTCTTGTATCAGTTGATGAAGATGGTAAGACGAAAGCAAAATTCATCGCTCATACTAAGGGAAATGAGAGTTTGGAGAGTATTCAATGGCTTTACATGATGGAAAAAAAGTATGGGTTAAAAATCGTTCATGGACTAAATGGAACCGAAAAGAAAATTGATGGAAGTGATTACTCTGTTGACGGATATTCTGAATACGTAACAGAGACAGGAGAAATTGAAACAATCGGATTCGACTACCGCGGATGTCGCTGGCATTATTTTTTGGGATTCTTTGTTTTGAGATCTTTTACAAGCATCAAAGCGCTGTCGTGTTTTTTGTTCATGAGGTTGATGTCTGCGCCAGATTTGAGTAGTAGTTCTACTGTCGTATGTTCGGCGAAAATGACTGAAAAATTAATTAGGAGGGATTCTAGAGCGTTTTTCTTCATAAGAGCAACCAGACAGTTTCTGCCAAATTTAAAGCTGAAAATGATTATCTGATAAGAAGATATTGCAATCTGTATTGATCCATCTGACTCTCGAAAAAAAAAACTAAGTAAGTCCAAAGTCAACAGTAAATCCTCGATAACGGAAGTGTGCGCTATTTGCCCAATGCAATTAAGTGTCTCCCGTAGTTATTTATCGGCGACTTTGGTATTTCCGGGACTTGTCAATCTTTCAAATTCAAAGCATTCAAAATATTCGAAGAACTGTATCGCTCCGAAGAAACTCACTTGCTGTATGGAGACAAGCGTTTCCGTTGCTGTAAATTTTGTCGATCGCCTTGCTTCCATATTTTTTCTCCAGGCATTCGAGATAAATCCGCAGAACCCGCCTGAACAAATTTTTACGCAGGAAGTAAAACATGCGCGAATCTAGCTGTGTTTACTCGGCGACGCTCTTTTCCCACCTATAATCGTCGATCATGTCAATACTGATGGCGTTCCACTTGACAAACAGCTGCAGCGGCGAGTTTCCCCGCTTGTCCTCAATCGTTGGATCTTCGCCTTTATTCAGCAGGATTTGGATGATCTTGGCCGAGGTCAAAAACACATTCGATAAAAGAAGAAAAAACACGAGTCTTTGACAGCCCGTAAATAGAGATGACATCCAGCGCAGGCAGCGTGTAAACCTGTCTTTTTGTGGTTCATTTTTAATCGAAGACCGAGGAATAGATTTTCTTGATATTTTAATTCTATTTCTGTAAATATAACTAAGAGTGTCACGATTTAAATTTTTGAGCCCAAAAGTCTGGGCGATAAAAACCAAACAATATTTTTATATGAAATAAATATCAGATTTTTAATGAAAAAAGAAATTTTTTGAACCTTTTCCATCCAAAAAAATCCGTCTGGTTTGGAATATACGCCGCCGAGGCGATATATTTTTCGACATCACGCGCGTACCCTTCAAAATAAGCTCGATAAAGACAGCCGCAAATATTGATAAGAAGATACCATATTGTTCTACGAGACTTCATTCCAGCGTTTCTAACTTCAGAGACCAGCAAAGAACAAGCTTCCTTAATAAAAAATTAACAAAATACTATACAATCTAATCTTGCGAGTGGATGGAACAGCGAAAAGAATACTTTGGAATAGAAGGCCCTGACTCTTATCCTTTTCTCTTCTCTTAGCAAATTGAGTATGAAGATCTCCTCAATGCGATTAAAAATGACAAAGTCTTTGGTTTTGTTCATTGTGATGTTCACTCTCCACAAGAAGTCATTGATAAGAATAAAGCGACAGTTAAATTCCCTCCAATTTTCGCACAGGTGAAGATAACTGCGAATATGGTTCCTGCAGAATACCGAGGAAATTCAAAATTCCCGACGACAGTAAACACACTTGTTTACAATCAGAACGATATTCTCTTGACAACAGAGATGGTAAAATTCTATTTCGAGCAAGGAATGATTATAAGAAATGTCAAGAAAGTAATGTTTTACAATAAGACAAGTCCGTTCAACGATTTTGTCCAGGATCTTGTCGAGAAAAGAAAAAATATGCAGAAGATGGTAACAGTGAAGCTGAAAGTGTCATCAAGGTCATTCTCAATAGCTTCTATGGTCGTCTTGGGCTGAATAAAAGCAAATACAAGCGAACGGAATTCGTCGGTGAGAAGGAGATTGGCTTACGTCAGCGCCAGCTTGGGCCCTTTCTATTAGGAATCGAGAACATGATCACTGAATATGTAACAAGTACTGTGGAGATGACAAGTCGATATCGAACGATCCAAGATGATGCGCTTGATCAAATTGCTTGCTGGAGTAATTTAATGATTACATTTACTTTATTTATTTTTAGTTTTACAAAATAGTAAATTGCTGATGTTTCAATTTATCTATGGATTGGAGGCGCTTCTTATACCCGGCACATTTCGATAATGTTATACTGATACAGACAGTATTCTCTACGCTTTTACGAGTGAAAATTTGGAAGACTGTGTTGAACCTGAAAAACTTAGGGAATGGAAAATATTTCATGAAAAATGGTTTTCGGATAATACAATCAAATCTCAAAAGACTCCTGGGTATAACTAATCTATAATTCATGAAAATGATAAGACAATTTTAGATTATTCAAAACGGAATACGAGTTTACGAAGGGTTCTTTTATTGGTCTATCAAGTAAATGCTACAGCTTGAATGGCGAGTATAAGGACAAAAAGCAGAAAACTGGTACAAAAGGAGTTCGACGACAGGTTGAAAGTAAGAGACCAATCTTTTACAAAAATGATTAATTATTTGTAGTTACCGAAAACGATTTCAAAATGGAGCTTTTCGGGCAACAGAAAAAACATGTTGATTGTGGGTACTTTACTCAAAAAAGAGGCCAAATGAAAACAATTTTGATGAGGAAAACAGCGTTGAATTCAAATTATCACAAACAAGTTGTTCAAAAAGACAAACTAACAGTGCTTAATCTCAAATCAGAGGAAGGCGAAGATTTGTGAATTGTTATTCAGAAAAATAAATTGATTTCTTTATACATTTGAGTATTCGTTTATGCTATCGCTTTGTGTTTATGGCATTGAATATCGGGATTGATCAGTGCAAAGAAATTTAAGAATTTCGAAAACATTATTCAGTGATTATATCTGTCGACAAGTAGGGCATTTATTTTCATAAGATTTATTTTCATTATTTTAATAAGATTCTTCATGGTAGCATGGACCCTAAAAAAGCTCGACAGCAGAAATTTATGCAAAACCGTCTTGCCTCGCAGGAAGATACAGCTTACCTTCGCAAGCTCAAGCGAGACCATGCTACCATGACTGCGGAAAAAAGATCGAGTACGCAGAGGATCTGAAAAGAGCACACGCACTGGCGGCGAAGGAAAACCAAGCGAAAGAAAACAAGCAGACTCGTCGAGGGGGCCTTAAGAACAAACGAGGTCGCGGAGGTCGAGGAGGTAAGATCAAGTTTTACTGGTAAAAGATATTGAATGATTAAAGGCTTTAATGGTGGTTTCCAATCTGGAGGTCGAAACCAAGGACAGAACAAGTGGCAGTCGTACGACAACCAGTTCAACTCTGGTTATCACAACAGCCACAACAACGGCTGGGATGCTGGACACAATCAATCCTCCTTCGACAATAATCAAAGAGGCCGAGGTGGATTCCGAGGAGGCCGAGGTCGAGGAGGTGGCCAGCGGGCGAATATTCAGCCCAAATCTTGAATTCAACCCCCCAAATTAACAGACTCGCGAGGGTCTGTTTTTTTGGGTGAGAATCCCATGCGGATTATAAGTGCTATAAATCTTAAATCATCAAACGCTGAGTAACTGTTCCCTCTCTTTCAATTATCTAGTTTTTTAAATTCTTATGTTGATATTTGTATTTTTGTAAAACCAAAATTTTATAAACTGATTCGATCTACATGTAGTAGTTTAAGTGTTATTTTTTAAGCCAAATGGGACATCGAAAATTCGGCGAGCTAAATGATGGCTCTTCAGGGACAATAATCAACAGATATGAAATCAAACCAGACAAATGCAAAGCTTGGGCAGAAGGAGCGTGGACGACCTTTTGAAAGAGAGGGAAAGCACCAGTGACGGCTGATATAATGCAATCATTCCTGGAGTCCTTGAAACTCAAGAATCCTTCAACTCCACAAGGCTGGGAGAAGCTGCGAAGCTTCCTCCAAAATGCCGTCACCGAAAAGGAAGGGAAACCGCTCCTCCACCCGGCAAAACAATTCTTAAAGACATGGACTACCAGAAGAATGAGAGCTCAGTCAGAGGAGTCGCTATATGAACCACATCAGGCTAATGTATTCAAGCTCAAGAAACTCCTCCCGTTTTGGAGAAGACTCTACATGGGTTCAGAGATTGAAAAAATGGTCGCGATAGTGAGCATCCTGGCTTTTCACACAGCGGGTCGAACGGCCGAAATCTTGTCGTTGAGAATCGAAGATATGACCTTTACCCAAAAAGAGGAGGCCCTCTACATCATAATGCCCCTCCGAACGTCGAAGAGCAACGCTAGCAAGAGGCGTCGCGAGAGCCTCTCGCTGCCAGTTCTTCCGACTTTTCCCGTTAACATCAAACTCTGGCTGGCCAAGTTAATCGACGGCAGAAAGCAAGGGAAGCTGTTCGCGGCCCCCAGCCTCAAAAGAGGCCTGACAACATCAACTGTAAATTATTATTACAGGAAAGCAGCGGCTCAGTTAGATTGGGAAGAGTGCCCTAGCGGGCACTCAATGCGTGTCAGCTACGTCATCGCTGCTTGCGAGGCGGGGGTCGAGGACAGTCTTATCATCTCCGTGTGTAGATGGAAATCACCGGAAATGCTCGAGATCTATAGAAGCTATCATCTGCTTGAGAGCGAATACGGAGCACACTACTTAATTGCGGCGAGAGTCCAACAAAAAAGGGAAGAAGACGAGGGAGCGATCCCAAGTCTTCCTAACTTAGCAAACGCCAAAATTAAACGACCGGAAAAGAGGAAATTCGATGCGGACGTAGTTATTATCGAACCTGAGAATCAAGATACCTCGCAAAAACTTGTCCAAACAACACTGAAGATGCAGCCAAGGCTTGTTACGACAGCCGTACAGACCGAGGAGTTTTCTTGTGAAAAGTGTCGAGAGAGGAGCCCTCGCGAGCTCGTCTCTCGTATTGACAACGAGGCCAACAAAGTCGCCAGAAGCTGTAAGGACTTCAAAGAGGCAAAGAAAAAGAAAGAAGAAAGACACTCGGAATGGGCCATATAAAATTTTTAAATTTTCCTGACAATAGACTGGTTATCAAAATCTCACAAATTAAAATCGTTTCAATCGAGAATGCACCTCGGTTTAAAACCATTAGATCATTTCAGGATGGGCGCTTGTTTCGGAAAGAATTTCGGGAAAAATAATCCCTCGGCTCGCTCTTCAATGAGTTCTAAATGGGCGTCGTCGTCAGACTTCGACAGTATCTCCTGCTATGCTGATAACCCTGGTTTTAAGATGTTCATCGAATGGTAAGGATGCCGTCAGGCTATAAAATGAAAACCTTTAAGGAAAACAAGATCTCGGGAACCATACGCCTCGATCCTCGTGGAATCAGACATGAAGTAGCGATTGGCCGAAATTAAAGAACGATGGGCCCGCGAGAGCCCATCGGAGTCAATTTAGAAGAAGTTAACATCCCTGCCAAATGACCATTCTCTCACAAATGAAACCTGAGTCAGTTAATTGATACCAGAAGAATCGGTCGTTTCAACTTAGCGCTTAAAAGTGTCATTTAAGAATGCCAGACAAGAAAATCACAAAATGGAATCTCGAAAGATGGGAAATAGAAGCGATCTTTGACATCATCAAACACGCTCAAGTACGTACCATCACTTGGCAGCGATGGGGAAGCGAGGTACACTGGGCTGACTTTCTCAGTAAAGTAGAGCTGATCGAAAACTTAAACGAGGTAACCTTTTGCGCACGCTTTGGTCCAGTGGTGGACGAGGATGCAGACTTCGTGCTCGAGAAGGTTAAGCTTGATGTAAAGGGCATTCCCATTGCAAGACCTTGCACCTGCAAGCAGTTAGATGATTAACTCAAGCGTAAGGGCCTCACGACCCTTGCGCTTGGGCTTAGGAAACTTTGATTCAAAATCGTACAACAAAGGGCATTTGGAAAGTTTGCATGCATTTAGAATGGTAAAAGTTAGGTTTGTTAACGCAACCTTGACCAGGCGAGAAGTACTCCGAATCTTTGAGATCTTGGATGATGCAAAGCTACTGAAAGATGATGGCTCTGTATGGCCCATACAGTATGGGGCGACCAAGCAAGGGGTTTCGAAGAGAAGGTCGCCCTTCTCGACGAACTCCAAGAAAACCAGATAGCAAAAAGGCTCTACACTGTCTACAGACTCGATGAAGAGGACATTCTCTTCCTTATAAAGAAAATAGACTTCGACATCACGGACATTTTATGCAAAGAATCCAATAAATACGGTTGGTAGGGAATTCAATAGGAAATCAGCAGAAAGACTACAAAAATTATCATATGCCTGCAAATAAGCCTGAAATCAAATATTTGATAATAGCGGAAATTCTTAAGAATGGAGACTGCTCTCGACCTGAAAGCGAGAAAACGTTCTATTTGCATCGACAAGAAATAAGAAGAATTTTGTGTTACAGGGCGAGGCCCGCGAGAGCCCGCCCTGCTGTAATGGCTGTCACAGAATCCTTTATCGGAATAAATACTTGAAGTTTTCTTTTCTTCTTTTGAAGTAGTCCTTTGTTGATCCATGATCGCTTGAAGATTGCTGGGTTCAAGTGCATGAAGATTTCGATGGGGATTTTTGTCCCAAAAATATGGGAAAATTTGTTGTCATCCGACGAAAGGCAAAAAATATCCATTTTAAGGCCACTTTTGAAATTCGCTGTCATCCAAAAAGGGGCCTTAAAATGGGTTTTCACTGTAAGTAAGATTAAAGTCATAACAGGTCATGAAAATACAACATGTCTTGTGGATGTATCGTCGTTTATACCCGCAGTCGTAGATAAAGAGTGCATTAATATCCAATCTATGGTAAAGTAAGGTAACGTTTATTGTATTTGCATTGATTGGTTTTACGTCTATTACTATGAGACCTGTTGAATTATCGGGTTTCAGTAGACGCCGACGCCGGTAGATGCCCAAGGACGGTCGCGGGAGCTGATCAGTAGAGTCTCGGTGGAAGTGTCTCTAGAACGTCTTGAGCATCCTCTCGCGCGGCGAAAATCTGAAAAACACCTCAGTCGCTAAAAAATCCGGCTCGAGCGCGGACCGATTTTAACAACACGCCTGCCCCCGCCCGATTGGTGCATTAATTTGCACATTCTTGAGCGGTAGAGCGGCTTTCGGTCCTCGCACTAGAGCGGATTATTTATCTATTATTTTTTCACCCACCCACGCCCGAACAGTGGATTTGGTAGGTTCGGGCTTGTCCCACCCGGGGTTGTATTTTCATTCACATAGTATAGACGGTAAGTTTATTGTATTTGCATTGATTGGTTTTACGTCTATTACTATGAGAAATGTTCGTAGTCATGGTCATGTGCTGTGCTTTTGTTTGGATCGCGGAGATTTGGGGCAGGGCATCGCTCAGCTAAAACTAGTCCATAAATACCGCATATAATGTCTCCCGAGCGATGTCGGTTATCTAGTATCATGTCTAATCCATGATAAGGGCATTCGAATGCAGGACGCCAAAAGCCGGTAGGGAATGTTTGTTTTGGTTTTTCCATTCTTAAAATATGCAGTTGGCTTATTCTTCGTTTTTTTTAAGCAATAATCGTCAGTCAGAAGCAACGAGTCATATTATAAAAATAGTTATATGGGTTAAATAAACGTACATTAGGTTTACCCGTCGCGAAACTAGTTTACTCGATACCCTTAAGTCACCTTAGAATTAAATAATGAAAATTCTTTTAAGCGATTTTTTTCCCATATTTTTTTATTTTTGAATTCTCGAAATTTCATAATCAATATGTATCTCAGGAACAGGTCTACTGCACAAAAATTCTAAAACCCGAATACCCAAAAGTTTTCTCCGTTATTTCGATAATTCGAGGCTTTTCAAATTAAACGATGATCTCCTTAATCAATTCTTAAATTTTGCGTTGGTTCTCATCAATCAATAAAATATAATTTAAATATAAAAATATATGGGTTTCGAGGGGTCGCGCGCTGCTTAAAGATTTATGCAAAGCATTGTTCGTCGTTACGCCATAGGCCCCTTGAGCAAATCAGAAGATGCTGTTGATTAATTTATATTAAATTTTTCTCCTCACAAAAATTTTCGCTGATGCAGGTGCTTCAGTCGAGATTTTCCCGCGCTCGGGCAAGCTCGCAATTTTCTTCTGATTTTTAATTCATTATCTTTCACCTTCCTGAACAAAATATTCGAGTCAAATATCCTACCATATTATAACAATCGGATTAATTATAATATAATTGAGTATATATATTTATTAATAATTAAAAAATTCTTATTATTTATTCTCGTGTATTATTCTCATTAAGTATTTATTATTTATTCAACTCACTTATAATTAATTATTCTCATTAATTATTGATTATATACTTTGCTCATATACGTCTTCATGTAAATAGCGCCTTCATATATTTTTTCTTTACTTATCTTTAAGGGGTAAGCTCTGCTTACTCTGAAGATCACTTGTCTCTTTTTTCGTATTCTTTAAAAAAAATATTTCTTCTTCCTTTTTCTTCAATTTTTCTCATTTTTGGCCCTCTCTCAACCCCGACTTGTTCACACTAAATCCTCGATGCTGATTTTCGACATGGTTTCCGCCTGACTGGCAACAATAGGCAGTCTGCATATTTAATGCAGAAGTGGGAGGAAGAAAGAAATACTTGGTTGCACGCTTTGCAACTGTCGTAAAATCGGCGCACAAGGGAGTTGTTCTAGAAAGGCGGCATCTGGTTGGCGTGTGGCTTCGTTTTTATACCAAATGATGTAATTGTAGTCAATCGTTTTCGCTAACTTGCATTGGTGTATTGAACTGGCGCTGGGTTTCTTTAAACTTCTGACACCAAATGTTGTAGTTTGACTTTGCTCTCAAATATAACATACAGTTAATTATGGAATTTTTGGACATTTTTTGTCCCAAGATTTTCGCGAAAATGTCCATAAATTTGATACACGCGGCCAAAAAAAATATCCCATCCAAATCGCTTAAAAAATTTTTTTTGAGAAAAATCTCCATCATTCTTTGTTTAATCCTTCTTCTAAAGACAAAAAATGTTTTAGGGGTACGAGATCAACCTTCAATCTTATCTTTCTCAAAGAAAAAGTAAGATTTTAATATGAAAAAACTTCATATCTGGCAAAAATAACAGAAAATTTAAAAATACGGCGCAGAAAATGTCCAAAAATTTGATACGGGCACTTTTGAAAAGTGTCCCAAGAAAACCCCATAAAAAAGCAAAAATGTCCAAAAATTTGATGTCCAAAAATTCCATAAAAAACTGTACTACAATTGTATATAAAAAGCTTAGAAGCATATAAGTTTATTCCGCGTCATGCACAGTTCTCAAGAGTGAGCTCTCTTTAGGCTAGGTTGGGTTTTCTAACCCCAAGGTAAGTTACTTTTGTGTATACAGATGTTGTGCAGAGGTAGATGGTTTTACGCCGACGAGCGCCATGAGGTGCTTCCTTATAGCCTATAATAGGCTATGCGTGACGATCAGAAGATACGATTTTTTCTTGTAGATATACTGTAATGTCTCTTTTGAATTATAATATCAATATTTTGCTTAAGGGTAGAGTAGGATCCTCACGCGCGCGCTTTCAGCACTTTTTCCCGGACTCACAAATCTGATAGAATAATCGTACTCAAAAATTTCATTTTTATGATCACTCTTAAATTTTTCAAGCAGTCTAGTCGTGTTTATTAATTCTTCCTCGCTGATCTAGTTTAGCTGCAATTTAATCTCAAGAGTTTTTCTTCTTCGTCTATCTCTTCCGAGGTTTTTTAAAGGAAGTCGATGAAATTCGTATCGTTGAAAAGAGCTTTTTAAAAGCTTTAATAGTTATAGGGAAAACTAAGAAATTTGTGCTCGATGAACTCGGAATGACCGATAATTTATTCTCGCGTGCGCGCAACGCGATTTTTCGCCTCCCTCTTTCTCTTCTTTCATTTATTTTGGAAAATCTGCGCTGTATATCTCTATCTTGATATTCAATTTGCACAGAAATCAATAGAACTTGAGCATTTCCGTCAATTTTG